CTTGGAGATAGGGCTGGAATCTTGTGTCTTTGCTCTTGGCCTCTCCCAGCTCCAATCTGCTGTCCCTGCAGTGCTCCCATGTCTTCCTGGACCAGGGCATGGATGACAAAGCTTATTTTGCAGTAGTGTTGTGCTGTTGTCTCGGATAGTAGGGAAGATTTCTTCATGGAAGGAGTGGTCTGGCATTAGCATGGGCTGCCCAGGGAAGTGGGGGAGCCACTATCCCTGGAAGTGTTCAGGAAATGAGCAGATGTGGCACTTGGTGATGCAGTTCAGTGGCCATGGTGGGATTCAGTCGAAGGTTGGACTTGGAAGGTGATCTTGGAAGGCTTTTCCAACTTTAATGATTCCATGATTCAGCCCAAATTTTGCCTGCTCTTTATTTTCTTCATCACCTTTGATTTTCCTCTTTGTCATGCCCCACCTCTCTCCTTTAGCTTCCCTTTGTAGGCTATTTATGATTCTCTTTTGGAAACATAGGTGATGAATTTTATTTTGGCTGGACTTCTTGGCTGGAAGGTTTAATCCTTTTATCCCTCTTTTTCCCCAAGACTTTCCATATTTTTTTATATCTGCCTTTTTGTGTTTACTAGCAACATTCCTAAATGTCTGGAGGCAGATTTAATGAAGATGGAAAGTTTGAGGATTGGCTTCTTGCCTGCACCTCTGTGGCCATCCATACCCAGAGTGGGGACGCTGCCAGGTCAGATGGGGCAGCACATCCTTCCCTCAGCCTTGGAAAACACAGTTCCACTTGGGATCCTGGAATATCTGTGATCTTGGCTTGGGTTTATGTCTCCCATGTAGAATTCTTGTGCTTCCAGGTGTTCCTGTTCTAAACAACCTTTGTGTTGGTGCTTGAATTTCCATGGATCCTGAGCAGTTTTATCCCTCCTCCCTCTTTCCATCACTCCTTTCTCCATCAGCCAAGCAGAGGCTGTCCTGTTATCCCAACCACCCCCACCACCCTGCAGACACAAAAGCTGAACAGAATAACAGAAAAATAATTCTTGGAGGATCTTTGGCCACTTAAAATTTTGCGTCCTGTTGTGTAGTTTTGTTTTCCTGGAATGTTTTCCTTCATGTCCATCTCAGCTGTTTCTCCTGCAGGGAAGTGGAAGGACTGAGTAGTACTGGAAAAGAGCTGCCACTGGGTGTGTAGTAGAGAGTTTTTAGTTCATTTAAAAAATTAAAATATTAGGAGGCTCTCTTGACCCCCAGAAGCAAGGTGAACCTTGCCAGGCATTTGGAAAAGCTGCTCCTGCCTTGTCTCGGGAATGTTTTTGCCAACCGCTCCAAATCAGATTATTAATGTGAGAAAATCAGATTAAAAAATCATTAATTTTGATAAGAACTTGATTATATTTCATCTTTGAGTGGTGAACAACAGGGAAAAGTGAACAACTGTAGGTTTTAGGTCCTGACCTGGAGCATCCTGTCATGGATTTAATGGGTTAAAAATATTTCTGTGTGTTTGCATTTCTTAATTTTATCTTTTTCTTTCAAAACCGCCCTGCAGAGTCTTATAAAACGCTGATTATTTCCTAAAGGAACAGTTAACCACCCAAAGCTAATCTATATTTAGTAGGTAGGGAGCTGTCATTGTGTTCTTACAATGTGTATTATAGAAAATTCCTGTGCATGAGTGAGATGTAATTCCCAACTCTTTAGTGTATCCAAGGTTTACACAGGGAAAAAGAACTCCTTTTTGTACAGTAAGTAACAGCCTGCAAAATTCAGTCTAAACCCTTTTTTTTAGCCTTAGAAATGCAAAGACCTCTTGGAAGCTTGTAGATTTTTACTCTGTCCTGTTGGGGCCGCGGTGAATTTACACAACTCTGCTTACGAATCTCTGAGAAATGAGATTCCCAGTGGAATTGCTGTCACAGCCTTAAGTCTAGTGTCAGAAAAATGGTGCTGAAATACTTGGATGTGAGGGGATGTGGGTCCCTGGGACGAGTTTGTGAGATTTCCAAGTGAAAACCAGCGTTTGGAGTTACTACTCCTGGTAGTAACTGGAGCCCCACTGGAGAACTGGGAAGGGTGGAAATATTTGGGGGATATTTCAACCAGGGGACAATTTGGAGCAGTTCCTCAGTTTGGGGGGTTTAATTGGCAAGTACTGCAGATCTTCCTGATTTTTAGGTCGGTGAGATATTGCTTGGGTGGGGGTTGGGGGTGAAATCCTGCTGGAATATTCCCAGTAAAATCCAAATCCGCTGTTTCTCTTCCTAAAATGCCTCCTGGCAGAGCAGTGGCTGCTCGCGTGTGTTCAGAACTCAACGTCTGAGGATCCTTGTTCTGTAGAAATATTAATTCAGGCTCTTCATTCCTCCATGAGTCATTAGAGCAGATTTCATGTAGAAATACTACGGAATTCACGTGATTTAGGCTCTCCAGGTCGTTTTCTGGATTTAAAATACTCCAAAAAAAAAATGCACAAAACTATTAGAATTATGTCTACTTTCTATATTAATTTTTTTTCAGGTAATATTTATGCCCATATCTTCACATCTGCTATCTCAGGTCCCTTTAATGAATACTTCAGGGATTTTGATGCCACGTGTTGGCAGACCAAATGTAATATTTATATGCAATGAGCTGTTAGTTTTTTGTATTGTACAAATGTAAATTTGTAAAGATTTTTTTCTAGAGTTTTTTTGAAGTCACTGATGTAATCTAGGATGTTTCATTTTCCAGCTGTGGGATTGTCTTAATAAAAAAAAAATAAAAAGAGAAACTCTTATTTTTGGGTTTGCATTGTTTCCTGAATAGCTGAGACGTTAAAAAGATATAAAGGAATAGGTGAAATCGAGTTTTTTAATGTAAAAAGAAAATCGCTTTTTCATTCAACTGGAGAATTTTATGCTTTTCAAAGTTTTATAAACTGGATTTGGAAACTTTAAGGAAGTAGATCTAGAAGCTTTTAAAAACTGGGAAGATGTTGAGCAGGGTGGGATGGAGACCCTCACCTTAGCCAAAGGTGAGCAGGGGGGCTCACTGGGAATCTGTTACCCCAATCACCACCTGACCTGGCTCCAAAATACCATTTTTCTGGGAAAAAGGAGAGGAGTATGTAATAATTTCTTGGAAGAAGAAGTGAAAAATACTTTAAAATGCAGTGAAATGGCTAAAAATGCCATGAAATGAGCAGGTGAGGAGGAGGAGGCTCCTGGACCAGGTCCCTTGGTCACTGTGGGACCGGGGTGGGTTCAGGGGGTGAGACTCAGCTCCAGGAGGTTTTACCTGGTTTTTAAGGGCTATTTCATGCAAAACAAAGAATTGCTCCTTTTCCATCTCTGTTCTTGCCCTCTTGTTAAATAGCAGCGATGCTGTTGTTGAACCAGGGATTTTTGGGGGTGGGTGGGGCTGGGTTTGTGTAGAGCTGCTGGGGGGGGCTCCAAGCTCAGCCAGGGCAGGTGCTGACACCAAATACACTGAATAAACCTGGGAGGAATTTCTTCCTGGAAAGGGTTGTCTGGCACTGGAAGGGGCTCCCCAGGGAGGAGGTGGAGTCCCCATCCCCGGTGGTGCCCAAGGACGTGGCACTCAGTGCTCTGGGCTGGGGGACAAGGTGGGGATCGGGCACAGATTAAACTTGATGATCTCAGAGGTCTTTTCCACCCTCAGGGTTTCTGTGATTCTGTGAGTCTGTTTTGGCTTTTCTCCTTAATCCTGTGACTTATTTGACATTTCACTTTACTGCACTGATTCCAGTGGCATTTCCTCTCCGATGGGAATGAATATCTGCTTTTTAACACAACACTCATCCTCCAAGCCCCAGGAACAAAAGGGCTTTTTTTTTTTTTTTTTCTTGGCCACGTTGGTTACAGAGAACAAAATTAAACTTGTTTTGCAGAGATACTGGAGCCCCGTCACTATGTACATCCACAGATGGCATTGGAGGGAGGGAATTCTGCTCCCTTTAGAGCTGCTTGACCTTTTGCTGTCCCTCTGTCGATATTGTGTTGATATTACATCATAGTATGAGTATATACATAATTTATGTCATCAGGTTTAGGTCATATGTGATAATACATGTTTTAAAATACATGATATAAAATACCAGAGGGGTAGAGAACAATTCAGTTATTCTTCCTGCACACTTTAGAAATGCATCTTGCAGCAGTATTTGTATTGATAATTTTTATAGATTTAATTGTGATTTTTATATATTTCAGCAGCACATGGACTAGAACCTGCTCTTCCCTGAATGTGCAGGACAGCTGGCCAACCCAGTGCTCATTTCCAGCCTGTAAAATCCTGAGGGACCCTTTTCCATCCACCGCTTCACACACTGCCTGTGCCATCGGTGGCCCCTGGAACCTTCCTGACCTGTGCAGGAGGGGGAGGCCAAGCTTTGCTTCCATCCCACCTTTCCAGTTCACAACAGGCACTGGAGTAGGATGATTCGAGCTCAAGAAGCATTTGGACAATTGTCTCAGGCACGTGGTGTGACTCTTGGGGTGTCCTGTGCAGGGCTAAGGGTGGGATTCGATGATCCTTGTGGGTCCCTTCCAACCCAGCATATTCCGTGTGATCCTGTGGGATTTGCCCTTCAGCTGCAACCTCCTCCCTGGGAGCGGGTTTTGGGGGCACCTTGTGAGCCCTGAGGTGTGTTTGTGTGCCTTTATCCTTTGGAGCCGTGTGAAGGCATTTCAGGAGCCGGGCAGGTGTCCCCCTCACCTACCCCCAGACAGCACCTTTGTGTGTCTTTGTTTCTTAGTGAACAAAAGTGTCTTTGTGTGAGGCCTCGGCGGGTGAGGTGCCGAGGCAGCAGAGCCTGTCCCGTGACGCAGGTGCCAGCGCTGCTGGCAGTGCTCCCGCTCCAGGCCTTCCCACCGCTCGGCTTCTCGGACAAACCCGTCCTGCCCGGAGCTGACGCAGGACACCTTCCCTCCTCCATCAATATTTGCTCGGGCGCTGGGAGGGAAAGGCTCGAACGGCTCCTCTGCCAGGCCGATGTTCCGCCCGGACGGTGCCGGAGGGCCCTGAGCACCATGAGGGACCGTCTGGCGGAGCTGCGGCAGCGCGTGGCGGCCGAGGGGGACCCACACGAGGACACCCTGGGCTTCGACAACCCGGCGCTGGCTGGGGACGATGCCAGCCCCGTGGGGCGGGTGCTGCGGGAGGCGGCCGAGCTGTGGCGGGCGCTGGACCGGCTGGAGCAGCTGTCGGAGAGCATCGACAGGACTCAGCAGACGGTGCTGTGCTGCACCTCGGAGCAGAGCATGGCCCGCGAGAAGCGAGGCCTGGGTGCCGCCCGAGCGGCCTTCGCCCGCCAGGCCGCGGCCCTGCAGCCCCGGCTGGGCGCTCTGCCTGCGGGCCCGGCGGGGGGCTCGGGGCGAGCGGGGCCCCGCGTGCGCCAGACCCAGCTCTGGCTGCTGGTCAGGAGGTTCGGCGCCGTCCTCGCCCGCCACTACGCCCGGGAGAGCCGCTACCGCCAGCGCCTCAAGGAGCAGATCCAGAGGCAGGCGGAGCTGGCGGGCATCGCCCTGGGGGCCCAGGACGTGGAGCAGCTGGCCGAGAGCCCCGGGGGGCCGCGCATCGTGGGCCAGGACCTGGAGGAGCTCAGGGCCAAGCAGCACCTCAGCGTAGCCCAGGTGCGCCAGTGGCAGCTCCTGGAGCTGGAGGCGCAGATGGCGGAGCTGCGGGGGCTGTTCCTGCAGCTGCAGGGGCTGCTGGCCCAGCAGCACGGGGCGGCCGACAGCGTGGAGCAGCACGTGCTGCGCTCCCTCGACTGCACGGCGCAGGCTGAGGTGAAGAGGGCCCAGCGGTACCAGCGCCCATCCCGGCTCTCGGCCCTGCTCAGAGCGACCCTCGGGCTCTGCGGCTGCTGCCCCTGCCTGCCCGGCCGCCGGGGCCTCAGCTGAGCTGGGGGTGCGCTGGGGGTGCAGCAGCTCTTGGGGGTGTGCCCCAATCTGGGCAAGGAAGGGTGGCACAGGAGGCTGCTGCTGTCTTGTGCTGCTTGCACGGCGCTGCAGGGGCCGTGCACACCCGGTGGGATGGTGCGAGGACCACGGGCACCTTGTGTAAGGGTGTAAGGACAATGCACGCCTTGCACGGGGGCACAGGGACCGTGCACACCTGGCTTGATGATGCAAGAACCATGCACAGCTTGTTCGGTGATGCAGGGACTGTACACACCTTGCTTGATGATGTAAGGACCGTGCACACCTCACCTGGCAACACGGGGACCAGGAACACCTTGGAGAGTGATGGAAGGACCAGGTATGATCATTCAAGGACCAGGCACACCTTGTATAATTTGTGTAAGGACAACGCCCACCGTGCTCGATGGCACAACGTGCGTGGTGCTGCAGGGACCCAGAGCTGAGGAAAAGCAGAAGGGGAATGACCTCTTGGTATGTTCATTGAATTAAATTCTTAGGAATCGAGAAAACTTAATTTTCAGGCTGATGAGTGCATTTCTTTTTCGCGTATGGATATTTTTGGGAAGCCTCCCTGCATCAGGAATGTGCATCCCTGCAAGAGCTATGGTTCCTGGGGAGCCAGGCTAAGCAGTCTCTGCTCCTGCCCTCTTCCTCATTCTTTGTTTTTCGTTTGTGAGGTCTAAATGAATATCACCTTTTCATTCAAAACTTAATGAATAGACGTTACCTCTTTATTTAATTTTCCTTTAAAAAACCCCCCAACTTTCCAGATCATTGGAAACACCCTCTGCATCCTGCACCGAAACCCAAATTTAATGTGTGGCTGCAAAAGCCTCCTGGGAAGCACTGAAGCTTTTTACAGACTCCCAGGACATGGAGAGAAAGGAAATAACCCTCAGCGAGGTCAGGAGGTGACAAATCCAAGTGCAGTAAAACATATTTAACCACCTTTCATGCATCACCCTCACAACAACCCCCTGCACAAACAGCTCCCTGGAGCCTTGGGTGGCTGGGCAGCGACTGACCCAACTGGTTGAGCTGCTCCACAGGGGGATTATCCATAAAGTGCAGGGAAAAAAAACCCTGTGTTACCCTCAGTGCTTCCAGCCAGGATGTATTTGCAGGGGATTTCATGGAGCTCAGCTCCTCCAGAGCCCGGCATGGAGCAGCTGCACCAGCCTGTGGTGTTTTCCTGCATATGGAATGAACAGGAAAATAACCCTAATTTGTGTCACAAGGACCCCTAAGGAGTTAAAGAAGGAGGAGAAGATTAGAAACTTTACACCTCAGAGCAGATCTTCCCACCAGTGGCTTTTTTTTTTTTTTTCCTGCTGCTTGGTGTCCTTCCGCTACATACTGGCCTCAGACAGAACCTAATTACTGCCTAGCAAAATAATTAATAATATTGTAATGTGGGCATGAACACTCAACAGGATGGAGAAGGTTCCTTTATCTTCCCAGTGAAGGCTGGGACTTCACCTGGAACACGTTTGCTTTATGAATATTCCTGCAGATGATGAAGGTGGAGGATCTTCTAAGACTATTCTAAGGGTACTGTTTTAATTATGTCCCAAAGGAGCATCACAAATGTAAGAAGTTCACATTGAAGGGGAAAAATAAGAGAGAGGCAAAGTTAAAAATCCAGCTGCACAAACCCCTCAGCTCTGCTCTGTGCTGACACGAGAGGCACTAAAAGAGGAATTTTTACTAAAATGCACTAAAAGGAGCTGGATTAAAAGCCCAAAGCCTTTGTAACTGTGCTGGCAGCACACGCTGCTTTGCACTTGCAAAGTCTTTCAGTTGATGAAATGTCACTGAAAATACATTTATTTTTAAGAATACCAAATCTTTTCCTGACATTTAGACAAGTAAATAATTCCAGACCAAACTAATGACCCTGTAGAGCTTGGTTTTTAAGGTGAGGTGGGTTATCACAGCTCAACAGTTCCTGCTCAGGGACCCCAGGAGGGCTCGTGATTTCCAGCTCAAACTCTGAACTTCCATCCCTTCAACGCTGCTGGTTTTTCATGTCACAACAAACACCCACAAACAGAATAATATCTTGTAAATGCAGCTTTTTAAATGTTGGAAGGGGACTAAGTCCCCCCATTTCTGTCCAGTTTGCAGCATCTTTTTGGCTGAACCTCTAGACATGTACATTTATTGGCAAAACTATAGGAAAAGCTGCATCAATGTTTAGAACTGTAATTCCATTTTTTTATTGCCCAGTTGCAAAAGAGCAAGGATCCATTCTTAATTAAAAGTATTTAGATATTTGGATTCAAAAGGAGAGGTTTAATAAATTATATTTTCATTTTCCTCCGACTATTCCCTTTTAAAACCATCACTCAGTATTTCCATTTCCAAAAATTTTTCAAAAAGGGTTTTTTTTTTTAAGTTCTCAGATCAGACTTGGTAATTTTATTCCAAATATACTTAATATCAAATCAGAAATTAGTTCTTCTGTGTGGGTTACCAAGTTATTGCTTCGCTTCCAAACCCTTTTTATGTTTCACTCCCCCATCCAGGAATGTGTCAGCAGTTTAAATTGACTTGATTTGGTTTTACCCAGTTTTTGCTGTATTTTCCAGTGAATCAACAACTCTATTCACAGAGCTCATCAAATATCTGCTGCTGCCTCTCTGAAAAATGCAGAGATCTGGCTCACAAGCCTTTCTGCAGGAGGAGGGATCACTGCCAGGAATTCAGGGGAGACACTGCTTGTCATGGAAAACTCCATCCTTGGGTTTATCAACAAACTGGGCTCGTTTTGGGTGTTTGCTTCAACTGGATGTCTTTGGTGTCCCAGCAGCCTGATCCGTGTGGGCAGCGTGGAGCAGGTTCCATCTCAATTTTGGATCCTTTCTAAGGCTGTTTCACTCTAGGCATGAAATAAATTGTGTTTTCCAGTGCTAAAATATTGCTGTTGGATTTCCCTGGGAGGGATGAAGCTTGATCTCCCTGTCTCTTCCTGCAGGCAAGTCATGAAAAATCCACCAGAAATAATTCATCATCACAGAATCTCAGAATGGTTTGGGTGGGAAGGGACCTTAAAGCCCATCTTGTTTCACCTCCTGCCATGGGCAGGGGGACCTTCCCCTGACCCAGGTTGCTCCAAGCCCCGTCCAACCTGGCCTTGGACACTTCCAGGGATCCAGGGGCAGCCACAGCTTCTCTGGGCAACCTGTGCCAGGGCCTCCCCACCCTCACAGGGGAGAATTCCTTCCCAATCTCCCATCTAACCCTGCCCTCTGGCAGTGGGAAGCCATTCCCCCTTGTCCTGTCACTTCATGCCAAACCATTGTGCCAACAGCCTGACAGGCAGCTCTGACTGGAAATTCCTGTTTTCTGCAGCCTGAAGCTTTGTTTGCACAAATCTTTGTTTTTCCAAGCAGAGGCCTCAGAAGTTCTTCCATTGGGACAATTTACAGGCTCTGCCCGCCCAGGAGGGCAAAGCTCTCATAATGAGGAGGCTTTAAATGACCCCAAAATGAGAGTCCTGGTGCAATCCTCACCTTACAGGCAGTTTTTGACTCTGTTTCACATGATGTTTCCTCTGCTCTGTGCTCCTGGATCAACACCTGGGTCACTGAAAATGGGATTTGTTCTAATAATTTTGTCCATCCATATGCACTCTGGGTAGCCAACCCCTCCAGCCTTTCCATGGAGTCTCAAATAAAGCCTTTCACTCTAAATAGGGAATTTTTCAGGTTGAATTAACAGTGAGAGGGAAAAATTGGACTGTTCAAAACCAGTGAACAGATCAAGCTCAACTTTGTCGGATCAAATGCACTTTAAAGTGAGTTTTACCTCCTGTTTGCAATGGCACAAAGCCACTGGGGATGAGAAAGTGCTTTAGAGCTCAAACTGCTGTCTGCCCTGGAGGAGCCTGTCTCCAGGATGTACCCTGTGCTTGGTTTTATGGGAGAAGGAGGTGGCCTCTCTCTCCTCCAGGAAACTCCCAGTATTTTTTTACTCTTCACAAAAATAGGGCAAGTGACATCATTTTCCTTATATTCCTCAACACTGAATCCTATTTCCCAAATATTAGGATGGCAATAAACCTGAAGAAAGCTTTGGAGACATCAGCTGATGGCGAGGCAGCTGCTGGTGCTGAATTTCAGATGAAATTGTGGCAGAAAGCACCAAAGAGGAGCAGTCAGTAGCACAAATCCTGGTCGTTAAATTATGGGCCACAAAGAGCAGTTTTTTCTTGCCTTTAATTTTTCACAGAGATGTGAATCAAACAAGTTGGAAAAATGGAAGAGTGGTTTCCAGGAGCAACCCTCTCCCTCCTCTCCTGGATGACACTCTGTGGACCTCAGCAAAGCCACGTCCTCAGACCTTCACTGCCTTTTATTCCCTGAGCTCTGTCCTTCAGGAGGTGGGCATTTCTGCATTTAATTCTGATGTTGTATCAATGGGGACAGAAATAATCGTGTCAGTGCCTCTCTGAGGGATGAAGATGACCTGCTGAGGAGGGTACAAGGTCTTTCCACGGCCTTCCGTGGCTTTGCACACTGGGATGGTGGTAAAAAGAATATTTCACTCGCTGTTTTACACTCAGCTCAGCTCTAAGATGGCTACTTTTAAAATCATTTACCCATTTTCTTTTTATATGGAGCCTGCCAGGCTTCAGAATGACTGAAGTGGAGAATATTAAGAATAGAGGAGCGGAGAAGAGAAACAATCTTGAGAGCACCGTGCACATGCTGCTCCTTCTGGGCTGGAACAGGAACATTCAGGCCCTTTTTCTCCAAAAGGACCAATTAGCACTTTTTAAAGAGCTGAATTTTGTAGTTGCAAAAAAATTGCCATGTTTACTGTGATGAGGAATGGATGGGGTTTATTCACTATAAAAAAAGAAGGTTTTTTTAAAGACAGGGAACGGATAAAAGACTTGGAAACGAAACTTTTGTTGAATTAGTGACATTATAACCCAAGTGAAGAAGGAAGCTGGACTGGTTAGGATGGACAGC